TTCTCTCTCAAATATTCCAACATGGTATCTGAGCTTTATTGGTCTTAGGGCCTTTACAAGCAAAACAAAAATAAGAAGAAATCCGCTGCAAGTAAAAGAGAGATGGAGTCAACAAATTTATGGTGAGAAGAAGAGGAAGAAGAAGGAGTGGAAGAAGAAGAAGAAAGAAAGGAGGTGATGTCAAGAGATAGCATCATCAACCTTCACAAACAGAATCATCAAGAAGAAGGCTCCAAAGGGATGATGAAGATAGGAAATCTTCTCAAAAGAAAATGGAGAAAACAGATGTGAAGTTAGAGTTGTGAAAGGAGGTTCTGAAACTTGTTCAACAAGACGTGAAGTTCACGCATAGAAGGTTATAAGAGATAACCGAAAAAGAGACGTCAAAAAGACGTGATGGTGATCAAAAGGAGACACCAAACAATAAAGGAAGATGCTTACCTCGGAGATAAAGAGAGCATAAATCGGTTGAAGAGTAAACCGAAGACGATGTGAAGGAGATTCACGCGTTAGACGTCAGGGAGACGTTATGGTGATCAGAGGGAGACACCAAACACAAAAATGGAGGATGCTAACCTCAGAGAAAAATGAAGCAAAAGACGTTTACAAAGATAACCGAAGAAGATGTGAAAGAGTTCACACACCGATTTGGTGATCAAAAGGACACTAAGAAGAAATAAGAAGAAAGCTCAGTTAAAACAAAGTGAATGAAAAAAGGTTGCGAGAACAACCGGAGAAGACGTGACAAAACACACATGGAGGAAGAAGGAAACATCATCAAGAGTAGATGATGGAAAATGGTTAGTTGACACAGATGTATTAACCACATGACCAAGGAGGTTTCATACTTCATCACTCTTGATAAGAGTATCAACATACCAATCAAAGTGGGGAATGGTCAATGGGTAATCACGGCAAGGAAAAGGGAATATCCAAGTGATGATAAGCCAAGGAGAGAAGATCATCAAAGAGGTGTTTCTAGTGCCGGGCGTAGCAAGGGTTTCACAAATTGGATATGGAGTTTTGTTTAAAGACAATGACTGTTCCATATATGATCCTCAAGGAAGAAGGATATCGAATATAAGATGAAGCACAAGAAGTTGTCATTTAGATGGAATTAACCAGAGGCAAATGCATTACTTGCCTATGAAGAAACTGTCAACCAACGTCAAAGTTTGAAGAGCTTAGAAGGAAGCTTGGAGTAAAGCCGAGATATGATTAAGGGGGAGTGTTGAAGTATAATCATATCTCGTGGTTGTCACATTTACATAAGTTAGTTACTTGATCCAAGAGACACAAGTATGAAGAGACACAACTCTTTGTGTTGTTGTGTCTATTAGTTTTCTATTTAAACCCATTGTAACGTCATGTAAAATAACAAGTTTCACTATAATAAAAATTCAGTTTATGTTCTTGTCTTTTACAAGAGAAGAGACAAAAGTCTCGTTCTCTGTTTTTTCTTCTTCTCTCTCAAATATTTAAACACCTTCCTCAGTCCCACTTCTTTTCAATCTCAATCTGACTTGCCTGCTGTGTTTTAAATGGCGCGAGGCGAGGTAAGGCGATGAAGGGCTGGTTTGAGCCCTGAGCCTAGGCGGCTGGTTTGAGCCCTGAGCCTATGCGCACTTAGCTCCGAGCCGTTGGTATCTGAGGCGCAACTACACAAGAAAACATGAGGTTAGTTATATTCATTGATCTCTAAACCATGTGAGCACCATGTGTGAGTTTAAAACCATGTAAGAACTAAGAACCTATAAAAATGTGGATTATCATTTAAAGAACAGAGAAAGAGAATAAAAGAAAAACTATTGTGAGAACCGAGAAGATGAAAGAGTTTAATGTGAGATGAGAAGACAAAGAGGTTGTTAAAAAGATTAACGAGAAAAGGTTAATCCAAATTGCGAAGACTCTTTAGGTTTTTTAGGAATAGCTGTAGCAGCAATAATGTAATAATGTTCACAGGAATTAATTTTTGGAAACATAAAAAGCAAATAAAATTTTATGTTTAACAATAATTACCTTTTATTTTCATAGGCGCAAAGCGACGAGAGGCGCCCTTGATACCAAGGCGTCACGAGAGCCTAGCCTCATCTATTAGAGGCGAAGAGCCCTTAACCTTACCTCGCCTCGCCTTTTTAAACACAGCATGCCTGGCCAGAAGCAGACAGTGTCTGGCTTCACTCTAACAGTTATCCTTTGGTCATACACACTTTAACACCCTTAAACCAATTCCCTACAACACTGACTTAACATATAACAACGGCCTTGTGTCTATGCATTATAAACTCGTTGTAGCATTAGGCACATGCATATACCATAAAGCTTTCATCTGTTTTATACTAAACTAATCCACCAAGTAGCTACTAATATTATTGTATACACAGAAAGATTGAGGAGAGCTGGAAACCAAAAATAATTGGTTCAAGTAGTCCTGGGCAACCGGGTACCCAATCGGGTTTCGGTTCGGGTAATTCGGGTTTCGGGTAATTCGGTGTAAGGCATATATAACCCAATCGGTATTTTACAAAAAATTCGGATCGGTTCGGTTAGTAACTGGTCGGGTTCGGGTCGGTTTTCGACTTCAATACAAAATCCGATTGGTACCGATAATTTTTCGGGTTATGATCGGTTTGGTTATTTTTTGTAATCAAAGTATTCAAATAACCGATTCATATCCGATATAACCGATTAAAATTTACAATAACCAATTAAATAACCAAATAACCGACGAAATATCATAAATAACCGATTAAATAACCAAAACAAGATCAAACCGATTTAAACCAAAACAAAAGTTTAACAATCTCACAACTAATACAAAGTTCAACAACTCAGGAAAGCATAACAAAAGATTGAACAAGTTCAAATGAGCATAATAACTCTAAAGTAGCCGATAAAAATTTGGAACAATGAAGAAGCAATCCACGATGAAAAAGGTCACTCCTTCTCCTTGTCCCTGTGAAACAAATAATACGATGTTCAGTCATAACTTGAATCATTGAGCAAAGCAAACAACACATACGATCTTCAGTCATGAACATGAATCATTCAGCAAATCAAACACGTAAAGACATGAAGTTTCAATACCTTTACTATTGCCGCATTCCAGGACTTAAGAAAACACCACACAAGAAGGCCAATACAAACATACCTTTAAAACATCAAACAACAGAGAACTACTATTAACATTGTAACAAATATCAAATAAGAGAAAACTTGTTGATCATTAACAAATAGAAGAGATTAGTTACCTTTGCTTTTATGAGATTAGCTAAGGCTCATGAGTATTTTCATCTCCAATACCAAACTCTGCAAAACAGTTATAAAATTACATTACAAACAGAATTATAAATCAAAGTATTATGACTTATGAGTATCAAAATTTGTTAAAGATTACCTTTCTCAAGTTGATCAAACATTTCAAAATCTGAGAGTAGTTGAGCACTTGTGATCACTGTCTGTTCACCACTCTTAATGTCTTGCCTCATCCATTGCTCACAACACATGAGGACCTCAATCATGTAATGAGTCAGACATGACCTCAATCATGTAATGAGTCAGACATGCCAAATGCTTTGTCAAATTAGACGTCCCTGACTTAGAATTGCAGCCGTAAATCTTCTTGCAGTAATGGCAGAAGCACTTGTTTCTGTTTTCTTTAGTCCTCGTGAAGTGTTCCCACACAGGAGATCTTGGAAGGACGACTTTGAGCTCTTTAGCTGGCCTTGAATTAGCTGCACTTGATTCTGGGGCGTCCTTCCTCTTTCCCCCACTTTCAACTTCATTCGTAGTCATCTCTTCTTCGAACTCGTGTTCATCTGGAAATGGTGAAGAACCCATCTAAACACACACATAAACGAAACAAATCAGTAACTAAGAGAAGAACATATATATGCACATAAAGTTAAGCTAACAAGTTAATGAAAACCTAACTTAAGATAATCGGTCGTAGACATTACTAAAATATATCTAAGATAAACAATATCATTTGTACACATTACCAATCCATGTTAAGAGAAGAACATATATATGCACATAAAGTTAAGCTAACAAGTTAAGGACAATCTAACTTAAGATAAACAATATCTAACTTAACAGTTACCATGATCAAGCAAATAGATTCTATGTAAAGTAACAATCGTATAAGAAACTTCACATTTCACATGAATTCCACTATTAACAAACAACCGTAGTCTTAATTTAATCAAATTGGTTTGTGAACGTGAGGTGGAACAAGATTCAAATACTTAATTTAATCAAATTTCAGAATTTAGAAAGATTAGGGACAAACCTTTGATTGAATTGCAGAGAGCAGTGAAAGAGGAGAAGATGGAGGAGACGATGGAGGGTTGAAAATTACGGTTCTTTCCATGGCCAAATTGGGGGTTTATATAATGCTTCTCCTCTCGGAATAAGCAGTAGAATACGAAACGAAAAGGTATGAACTATGAAACTGATTATTGAAATCTGACAAAGCATGCTTGCTCGGGTAGAAGACGAAGCGAAAAGCAAAGATTGAAGCTCGGTTCTGTATTGGAAACATAAGTACAGCTGTATATTAGGGTATGCTATACAATAGATATATCATTAGCTGCTTAATGGGTCATATTTTTAACGGGGGCCCAAATGGGTATCAGTTATAATCCGATCCGAACCGAAGTCCATTGGACCTTGGTGTATAAACCCAATCGGTTATTTAGCTGGATCCGATACCGTACCAATACCGCTTTTATCGGGTCGGATCCGGTTCGGTTCTTCGGTATCGGATATAATGCCCAGGACTAGGTTCAAGATTTATTAAAGAAAGACAATAATATTTCACACTAAAAAGTTACATGCCAAACGAAACAAACGAGTCATGTTAGGAAGGAACCAACACTAGGCCTTCAAAATCCACAATCTAGCAAAAGCATAACACACATAAAAGAGAGTTAATAAGGGAAATAAATAGTAGTAAAACCAAAACATTAGGAAACTTAGTAGTTGCATCATCATCTTCTTCAACTTGTTGATTTAATAGTCCCATTGGTTTTGCATCGATCCTTGGCACATTGGTTTATGCGATCACCAATCTCTGTGCCGTAGACGTCAAGATTCTTAATCCCATAAGCGGACACAACCTTTGACGCGACGACGTAAGACTCTTCCTCGATAGATTTCGCCACGGCCGAGGCTTCCTCAGGTTTAAATTTTCCGTATCGTTTGGTGAGGAACGAGTCTTTGGACAACGTATCGATCATCCAATTCACTCCATACTCGCGACTTTGCTGACTCGGCGGCCAAACGGACAACAAGGTTTCTCCATGTTTCTTCCTTTCTTCGTTTATAGCAGCAACTAATTCCTCGGCGGTGTCTGCCATCTTCTTCAGCGATATTAGGGTTTCTCCATTTTTCTTCCTTTCTTCGTTTATAGCAGCAACTAGTTCCTCCGATCTGCTTCTTTTGACGCAGCTTCTTTCTGATTCTGGCTGCGGCGATGTTACGGTGGTTTTTATTGTATCGGCCATCTTCTTCAGCGATACTAATTAGGGTTTCTTTAAAAGATCAGTTTTCACGTTGATTTATTTTATATATAGATAAGATGATTTTGAAAGAAGAGGAAAAAAATCATAAATTCTATATTAAACTTCCTTCTTTTTATATATAGGTTAGGACCGTTCGATGTGTGGGTTTTATTTTTTTAAATAAAATTTAAAAATATTTTTTTTGTAAGTAGAAACTATTTTAGAAAGTAACTAAAAATTATATGTTATTTCCAACTTAAAAACACGTGGTTTCCCCAAGATATGAATTCACAACTTATCTATCTTAACATTTTTGAAGTATATTTTGTACTAAAATCTATTTTGGCTTATAACCTTTTATTTTGTAATATTTGCATAATCAAACCCTTGCCATTTGAATAAATAACAAAATTTAAAAGTAAATTTTGTAATTATATCACAATCAAATCGCAAAATTGGAAACAAATATTTATTACATCAAAAAGTTTCCTTAAAATCTCTCACTAATAAACTGAATCTCTCTCCAATATATTTATATAATCTTATTTGTTTAAAATTTATATTATTACATAAAATATATTTATAATAAAAATACAAATTTTTTTCCACACATTTTGCAATTTAAATTTTTGAAAACGGAGGTATTTAATTCAATCAATAAAGGAAAAGATATATGTACAGACTAATATGTTTACAACTACAGATGAGCAACTTTTATTTTGATCAAGTATCCAAATTGATCAAGTATCCAACTTTTATTTTGATCAAGTATCCAAATTGAAAATTTTCTTAGTTTAATCCGGTTCTTTATTTAAGAAATTTTTTTTTAAAAAGTTTCAGAATATTATAAATTTAATTTTTTAACAAGTTTAAAATATGATAAATATTAAAACTTTTAGAAGCTGAAAATTATGATATTTTATTTAACTTGTATAGAATATTAAAATAATAAAAAATATTCAAACTCTACAGAAATTAAAAGTATTATTAATATTTTAACTCTATAAATATTTAAAATATAATAATATTCTACATAAATATGATTGAACGGGTTTGAGTTTACATAAATATGATTATATGTTTCTGCGGGTTGTCTATATTTAAAATATTTTACGGGTTAAGTTAAAATATAATTTTTTATTTACAATAAAATCGTCCCGCGATATACCAAGGGTATACGACATATATCTATGAATCTACTTATAATACAAATATCATAAAATTATATTAAATCAAATGAAATAAACACGTATAAAACTAAACTATATAAACCAACTACGAAAATGATCAACCAAAGAAATATATTAAATTATGGACCCGTGGTGTTCCACGGGGTAAATCCTAGTTTACAAAACATTTTAGATGCCAAACATCCATCAAATAGTCGTCTTATTAACAATTTTACTATATGTTTTAACATCCAAATGAGAGTTCTTAATGGGGTTCATAGGTTTTGATGATTTAATTTAAATCAAAATAAATTAATATGGTAAGGATGGGTTGTTAAATTAGGAGTTTAAAGGGGCAGTCTCTTAAGGCGATGTGGCTTATGTTTATTGGATGTGTTTGATTCAATGTGTGATGTCTATAAAGTTTATGAACCCCATACATGGGTTCACATAGGCCTGGGCATAAAATCCGAATCCGAAAATCCGAACCGAACCGAACCGAAAAAATTGGATTAAAACCGAACCGATATTGGAAAAATAACCGATCGGTTGTTAGCTTTCATTATTTTTGGATATCGGATTAAACCCGATCCGAGCCGATATCCAATAGATATCCATATATAACCGAACTTATAATATATACTTTAATATCTTTATGATATATACGTTTACCGCATATCGGATTAAAAGTTATTTTTAATTGATTTTAGGATGTTACTGAATTTTGCTACTTTTTCATTAGGAATTTATGGTTTAGTTTGGTTTATTTAAAGCTCTTATGCATCGACACAGTTTTATGCTTCACTTTTATATATTGGTATGGTATTATGTTAGTTGGTTCTTTGAACTTGTCATTTGCCTCATTTCTATTTTTTATATATACTTGGATAGCATGGACTATTTGAGAATAATTGGATTTAAAAATATCCGAATAAAACCGAATCCAATAAATTTTGGTTAAAATTTAATTATCACAATTATATCCAAACCGAACCGAAATCCGAAATATACAAACCAAAACCGAACCGAATTTTATAAATATCCGAATGGATATTAGAATCAATATCCAAAAAATCCGAAAACCGAAAAATCCGAACCGAACCCGATCCGATATCCGAACGCCCAGGCCTAGGTTCACCATTGGAGGCGTAAGAAAAAAACATTCATAAGAGGTTCATAATAATTAATTTAATTACAAAATTTAATTAAAATTTGCCTAAAAACCCTATACATGGGTACTTTATCACAATGTATAAAATGTCTCTATGTACATCTTCTTCGAGTCTTGAACCACAATAAGCAGCACGAATGTGAAGCAATCGAGAAGGGTCAGATAGATGATGTTGCATGAAGCCTTTGAGTTTAGGTTGAGCTTTGAAAGACTTTACTCTTGAATGTCATGTGAAACCAATATTCAAACGCTCTGAGTGCATTACTTTGCTACCAAACCAGCATTTGTGTTACTTGGACATTAGCCTGTGATGCTGTCTTCTTGGAACGGATGCAACACAGTAAGAATCATTGACCAGCTTCAATGTGGCCACTTAAACGGGTAAGACATTCACAAACATTCTCAGCTTGTGGATGAGACTTGTCATCAGCAAAGAAATGGCAAACTTTTTCATCCATCTCAATCCAACTACAGCCAGGTTTCTTCATCAGTCCCACTTCTTTCATTTTCAATCTAACCCGCCTTGCTGCATCCCATGACTCACAAGAGGCATACAAATTATACAAGACAGTATAGGTAGATGCATCATCTGGATATTTCTCCATAAGCAATCTTGCGATTCTATCTCCCAATGAATGATCCCGGTGCAAGCAACAAGCAGAGAAAAGAGTACTGAGAAGCTCTGCATTGTCTCTTGTCTCTGGTTTCTCTTCAAGAATTACATAAGCTTCAAGCAACCGACCTGCTCGGCCAAGAATGTCAATCAAGCACGAGTAGTGTTCAATACTAGGCTTGATTCCGTACTTTGATCTCATCTGACTGAAAAACTTTACACCTTCATCAATTAACCCGGCATGACCACAAGCTGACAACACAGCAAGATAAGTAACCCCATCAGGTTTTACACCAAACTTCTGCATTTCATCAAAATAGTAAAGTGCTTCTCTCGGTTGACCATGACATCCGTACGCAGAGATCATTACAGTCCATGAAACAACATCCCTCTTTGGTATACTGTTAAAGATTCTAGAAGCCTCTTTCACCTCACCGCATTTAGAATACATATCAAGAAGTGCACTCATCAGCAACTCGTCTGTTTCAACCCCGCTCTCGCTAATGGACAAATGAATCCGTTTACCTTTCTCTAACGCAGCCAATTGCGAACAAGCATGTAAAACACTTGTGAAAGTTACTACATCTGGCTTCACTCCAATACTCACCATTTCGTCATAAACTTCAACAGCCTTAAACCAATTACCCACACTAACATAACCAGAGACCATAACATTCCATGACTCAACAACGTCCTTCTGTGTCTTTGAAAAAACGGCTTCAGCCAACTTTACTTCACCACACTTGAAGTAGAGATCAATCAGAGAACAATTTAAATATATATCTGCATCTACAACACTCCTAATCACATAACAGTGTACAAATTTACCGTCATGAAGATTCCGTGAGTGAGAGCAAGCCATTAGAATACTAGTCAAGGTTGTCTGACTCGGTCGAGTCCCGTCTATAATCATTCTATTCAAAAGCTCAACACATGACTCACTATCTCCTTTAGAGACATAACCTCTAATCATAGAATTCCAAGCAACCAAACTCTTTCTAGACATTTTCTGAAAAACCTCTTTAGCCATCTCCAAACAGTTACATTTCCCATACATATCTACAAGAGCAGAGTTTACATACTCATCTAACTCAAACCCATGCTTCACATATTTCCTATGAATCTCCTTCCCTCTCTCCAAACACAACATCCTCGAGCACGCCGATATAGCTACCGTCAACGAAACAGAGTTGGGCTCAAAGCCAAAACTTTCCATCCTTCCAAACAACTCCAAAGCCTTATCTGCCTCCCCGTTTTGATAAAAACACGAAATAACCGTGTTCCAAGACGCAACATCTCTCTCAGGCATTTCATCGAACACTTGTACTGAATTCTCAAACAAGTTAAACTTTGCATACATACTAACCAAAGAGCTTCCTACAACCACATCACAAACATGCCCACTCTTCAACACAAGGGTATGAATCATTCTACCACAAAACTCTCTACCCAACGCACCATAAGCCTTAATCACATTCGGGTAAGTAAACGAATCAGGAACGCAAATTGGGCAATTCAGTAATCTCTTGAAAACCTCAAGAACGTCATGAAACATCGAGTTCTTTGAATAACCAGACACAAGCGAGTTCCAGATGTAAACATCCGACCGAACATCAATGTTCTCGAAGACGAGTCTCGCTGAGCAATGGTCTTTACAAGCGAAGTAGACATTGATTAGACTTTTGCATAAAACGACGTCGTTACGTAACCCAACCGTGAGTATTCTCTGGTGAACAAGCTTGGCTTGTCTTAAAGACTTGGCTTTGGTACATTCTCGCAACAAAGTTAACAACTTTGAAGATTCCATTTATAAAGTTGTGTTCTTTTACTTAACGATCTCTTTGTCTTAACATGATTGTTATGTAATTAAATACGACGTCGTTTATGTTAATGGGCCGAGTTAAATTAGGCCCAAAATGAAGGATTCCTAAAAAACCACTTCGTTTTTTAAAACCCTAGATGACAGAGTTTACAAAATCGCCCCCTTTTTGCAATAAAACGCGGCGTTTTGAGAATCTCTGAACCTTCTTCAACAAATATAAATACCTTCTTAAACCCTAGAAAAATCGCGGCTCCTGAAACTTTTTTCTCTCTCTCTCTATTTCTCTCTCTCTGCGTAAACCCTCCAAGGTAATGAATCTTTTGTAGCTTCTCTATCAACGTTGTTAGTGCAACAAAGCTTCCAAGTTCTAGGTTTTGACCTAAAGTACAGTTCTGTTCTTTGTCGGAATTTTTGAAGAATTTGAACAGAGTATTTGGCCTTAACTTGTATTCATGTCTTTTCATTGTATAGTTCTAGAGGGATTATGTTTTGCAAACTTACAAACAAGAAAAATGGTTTTTTTTTATTGTATATGTTGATTACTAGCTTAGATGAACTTGATTTAATGGTATTTATTTTCAGGGGCTTGTAAAAATGTTAGCACTGTTTGAGACACCAGGTGGGTTTGCCCTTTTTAAAGTGTTGAAGGAAGGAAAGCTCTCTAATGTTGAGGTTATTGTCTTCATCCTTGAGCTGTCTTCATTTATTGTCTGTGTATTGATTGTTTTTATACTAAGTTTGTGAATTTGGTGTTTTGTAGGATTTGGGTAATGAGTTCTTGACTGCAGAGTCAGCAAGAAAGGTGATTGTTACTGCCTCTATATATTTAGAGGCTCTCTTATATTGTTGAGTATAAGTCTCTTATATCATTTTTTGTGTTGTTACAGATGGTACAGCTTAAAGCTTTTGACAAGTTTGACAACACATCTGATGCTCTTGAAGCTGTGGCTAAATTGCGGGAAGGAACTGCAAGCAAGAGTCTACGCAAGTTTTTGAAATCTAACTGTGATGGTGAAACCTTAGCTGTGGCTGATTCAAAGCTTGGAAATATTATCAAGGAGAAGCTGGTGTGTAATTTTTGTTCTGGGATGCTCTTTCATTTGTGAAGATGGGTTGTTTCTTACGGATTTGCTTCTATTTTGTAGAAAATAGACTGTGTTCACAACAATGCTGTTATGGAGCTGTTACGAGGTGTCAGAAGCCAGTTTACTGAACTTATATCTGGATTGGGAGATAATGATCTAGCTCCAATGAGCTTGGGATTGTCTCACAGTCTTGCCAGATATACACTAAAGTTCAGTTCTGACAAGGTAGTCATTTACTTTATATTGGCTTCTCTGGTTACTGTTTGTTTGGTTAGAACTTGTGATAAAATTATGTATATTTTGACATCCTGTTTTGCATCGGACTCCTCTGTATATCCTTTGTTTGTTTTATGTTGTGTTACTTCTCCTTATATTATTACTTTTTGATAGGTGGATACCATGATTATCCAAGCTATTGGTTTACTTGATGATCTTGACAAAGAGCTCAACACATACGCTATGAGGGTTCGTGAATGGTACGGTTGGCATTTTCCTGAGCTTGCTAAGATTGTACAGGACAATATCCTATATGCTAAGGCTGTAAAACTAATGGGGGATCGGATTAATGCTGCAAAGCTAGACTTCTCTGAGGTTAATTCCTTGTTTACCATTTTCTTTTAACTTCTTGTTCCAGGATTTGATTTGCTTTTCCTTGAAACTAGTTTTGCCTTTTTAAAACATATTTTCATTGACTATTCTCATTTCAGATATTGGCCGATGAAATTGAAGCAGACTTAAAAGAGGCTTCTGTGATATCTATGGGAACTGAAGTCAGTGACCTTGATTTGTTGCACATCCGGGAACTTTGTGACCAGGTTCTTTCTCTAGCTGAGTACAGAGCTCAGCTCTATGACTACTTGAAGAGCAGAATGAACACTATTGCACCAAATCTGACCGCCCTTGTTGGTGAGCTAGTTGGTGCTCGTTTAATTTCTCATGGTGGTAGTTTATTGAACCTCTCAAAGCAACCTGGGAGCACGGTTCAGATTCTTGGAGCTGAAAAAGCCCTATTTAGAGCCCTCAAGACCAAACACGCCACTCCAAAGTATGGTCTAATTTACCATGCATCTGTGGTTGGCCAAGCTGCACCCAAGCACAAGGGTAAAATCTCTCGGTCACTAGCTGCAAAAGCTGCTCTTGCTATCCGGTGTGATGCCCTGGGTGATGGTCAAGACAACACTATGGGAGTGGAAAACCGCTTAAAGGTACTTTTTCCTCTCCTGCCTGATCCTGTCTATATTTTTCTTCATTCATTGATGTTTACCATGTGGTGAATATTTTCTGACAGCTTGAAGCACGGTTGAGAAATCTTGAAGGAAAAGATTTAGGACGTCTGTCTGGCTCAGCTAAAGGCAAGCCAAAGATTGAAGTTTACGACAAGGATAAAAAGAAGGGATCCGGAGGTCTCATCACTCCTGCTAAGGTCAGATTATTACTCTGCTTCTTTCTTCAACTTTTGTTTGTTATATTGCTTGTTATATCTTCAAAATTTGGAGTGCAACTAAGTGTTGGATATATTGCTTGTAATGTTGCTTAAAGGGTTAAGCTTTTTTTGTTATTGTTTTCTGCAGACTTACAACCCTGCTGCAGACTCCCTTCTTCAAACTCCCACAGCGGATTCAGAGAACGGTGTCAAAGAGAAGAAAGACAAAAAGAAGAAGAAGAAGACTGATGACGAGGAAGAAGCCAAAACCGAGGAGCCTTCAAAGAAGAAGTCGAAGAAGAAGAAATCAGAACCAGAACCAGAAACCGTAGAAGAACCCGCAAAGAAGGAGAAAAAGAAGCGAAAACACGAGGAAGAAGAAACCGAAATGCCAGCCAAGAAGAAGGAAAAGAGTGAGAAGAAGAAGAAGAAAAGTGAAGTCTGAGGAGAGAAGTTCAAAAATTTTGCGTGAGTACACGTTTTAGCTTCTCAAGGGAGACAAATTAACCAGAAACAAAAACAGTGTTTGTTTACTTTTGCTTTAGGTGTTTAGTAAGTTCTTTCTATTTTATTTTGAGTTCTGAAACTTTAAAAAGAACTGTTCTTGCTTTTGTAATGGTTATGTCTTGTTTTAGCCGTTTCCTCCATAATTTTGCTCTCTCTATCGCCTAACCATTACAAGTTTTGTGAATGGTATTTAGTTATTTACTAGTGAAATTAGAACTTCAAAACTATTTGACTGAACTTCATAATTTTGTTAATATTTTGTTTTTAACAGCCTTTAAAATAACTAAATGATATGATTAAAAAAAATAATTGGAAAATTAATTGAAAAAAAGAATATTTGTAATACCATTCTGAAAAGGAGTAATTTGTAAATACCAGTCTAAAAATTAATTGGAAAAGAATATTTGTAATCATTAATTCTCAATTTTTGCCAATATTCTAGTTTTTTTTTGTCAATTTTACAAACATTATCTTTTTATTTATTTTAAAGAATATTCTTTTCTTTGGCATTACAAAATCATTTTTTTTTGGGTGGAAATACAAAATCATATTTGTAATACTTAAAATGATTAACCAAATAAAAAAAATAGTAAACATTAGAAAACGAATATTACAAAATCGTTACCATTCTAAATTTGAAATATTCTTATTTGTTTTGGCAATTATTGTTCATAATTTAGAAACTCTTATTAAAACAAAAAACAAAATATGGAAATACACAGAAAATAATCATTACATGAATGTCAATAAAAAAGGAAAATACACACATAAGTTGTGCCATAAAAAGGAAAATATTAACTTTGATCAAAAAAAAAAAAGGAAAATTATAACAAGAAGCACCGATCATTACAATATATATGCGTTGCTTTGCTTCTACTCTGTTTTCACTTCTGTCTTTGGCTCTCCTCTCTTTATCTCTCGTCTCTGTAAACAAAAAAAAAACACGATGCAGTCATCGTCAAGCGTGTCTGAGTCCACAACGAAGAAAGGAACAAAACGAAAAATCGAAATCAAGAAACGAGAAACCAAACAGCAACGAGCCGTGGCTTGTTCTAAACGTCGTCAAACTGTCTTTTCCAAAGCCGCCGATCTCTGTCTTCTCTCCGGAGCCAACGTAGCTGTCTTTGTAACCTCTCCTGCAGAGAGTTCTGATGTTGTCTACTCTTTCTCGGGATACTCTCCTGCACACGAAATAGCTGATTGTTACCTGAATCGCAAGCCACCTCCTAAGTTTGTTGTTAACCCTCAATCCAAGTTAGGGTTTTGGTGGGAAGATCCTGATCTTTACAAGTCTTGTGATGATCTTTCTGAGTTAAACATGATTGAGGATCGTATAGAGAGGATGAAGAAGCATGTGATGGCTTGCCTTGAGAAGAAAGAAAAGTCGCAATGTGTTTCTAACTCCGAACAAAACCCTAGGTCTTGTTCTGTCGACGAGGAGTTTGCTCGACCTTCTTCGTATATCGATCTAAACCCTAACCCTAGCTCCTCTGTCCACGAGTGTTTCAACGATCAAACCCTAGCTTCTTCTTTCCATGGCGATCGAAACCCTAACTTCTCGACTCAGTCTTCTTCACAGGTCGGTTCTTTTTGTCAGAATCCTTACTCCTCTCTAGATAAGATCTGTGGAGAGTCTTCTTCACAAGTTGCTTCTCCATATCCAAACCTTAACTCCGAGATCCAAGGATGTGATGAAACAGAGGATGAGACTAACCTAATCATGAATCTACCACATCCACAAGCAACTCAACCAAGAAGAATTGGAATGTATCTACATGAGTCAATTCACTGATTCATCAACCGTTTTTTTAGTCGTCTTTAAAATCTTAACCTGTTATATTTTTTTAGGTACTATATGTTACCAATCTATATTATATACATGTAAAATAATATGATGTTAGTTGTTTCATCTTGGAACTATTATATAAAATTAGAGTTTGTCTCGTTGAGAATATATGATTTCTTGATCCTTTAATGTTACATTCAAGAAAAGAGAACAGTTTTGGTGCTTTGTGATTTTAAGATGATGTGTTTGAACAGAATTGAGGTATAAGATTATGAACTTAGCATAGATTAGATGAACTTATCCTCCACTACATGTAACAGGAGAGGTAAAGAAATATTATACAACCATTGCTAAGAAAATCGATTCAAAATTTGCATCTTTATAATATTAAATCTTTATTTTTAATACAAATTAGGACATTGCAAATTTATGATTCCAATTCAATAATTGCCTCTTAATTATTGGTTTTAGAAAAAGAATTTTGAAATCAATAAGGGTAATTTGGATCATCCAATTAAAATCCAAGATCCACAGGTATTTAATATGGATCATACCAAATTTTCATGATTTTAAAGTCTAAATTTAATTTTATATGATTAAGATTCATAATAAACTTTATAATTCAAATAAATTAAAAAACATATAATATATAAATAATCTTATAAATATTTATAATGTTCAATTTTGATATATTCATTTAAAGTTTTTTTAAAATAAAATAAAACTTACTACAAGATTTCAAAAACAAGATTACATTTTTTGAACGATCCTAACAATGCTTTATGCACATCGTTTATCTAATATAAATTATTTATAAGGACTTAAGAAGCGTTCATGATTTAGAGTATACTTAATTTACAATTTCCAGTAACACACAGAAGAAGAAAATTTGTATTATAAAAAAAAATTGTTTGTTTTGCTAACCCTCTTATACTTTCAATTAAATATGACACGAACTCGCCATTATTACAACTAATATTCGCAAATTTACCTTTATCTGGCGTAAAAATATAACTAATGGAGGGATAACATTAATATCCAATATCTATATTAACAATTTTGAAGTACCTTTTATGTTATACCCTTTTATTTTATAATATTTTCTTAATTAACCCCTTGCCATTTTATTAAATAGAAATTTTTTAAGATTAATTTTGTAATTAAATCATAATAAAATTGCAAAATTAGAAGAGAATTTTTGAGATATACCCCTTTTGGTGTACCCCTTTTTAAAAACACCCCCTTTATCTATCCATTTTCAAAAATACCCCTTTTTAAATATAAAAAATTATAAAGTTTTTTATAGTTTATAAGGCACTTCTATATCATAACTACTACTGGGAGATTCGATACAAATATTTTAAAATGTTTTAAATAGTTTTAAATCGTTTTTATAAGTTTTGTAAGGTTTTTAAAAGGGTTTATACGGTTTTTATAAGGTTTTTATAATTTATTTTTACGCTATTTATGAAAGGTATATAAAGTTTTATACACATATAAAGGTAATTTGTGTATATATTTATAAGCTTACACACATATTTGGATAAATTTCAACGTTTTTAGTGGGTTTTTTGATAAAGTTTGAAAATGGGGTATTTTTAAAAAGAGGTATATGAAAAGGGGTATTTTTGAAATTCCCCCAAATTAGAAATCAATATTTATTACATTTAACAATATTTCTTAAAATATCTCCCTAATAAATCAAATATTTCTCCATCATCTTTATATGATATTATTTGTTTTTAAATTTATATTATTACATAAACATATGTATAATAAAATATATTTTTTTTGCATATGTTGCAATTTGAATTTTTAGATTCGGATTTTTATTACTCAAACGATACAAAAAATGGATGTACTAAAGTATTACTGATAATTGTGTAGCACGGGTCATGTGATGGAACGAGTTATAATTTACATAATTATGATTATAGATATACTATGTAAACGAATATTACATTAATATCATTTTATTATTTTAAAATATTATACTTATTTAATTAATTTGATCAAATTACGATTATATAAAAAAATTATCATATAATAGTCTACGGGTTAAATCATAGAATTAGCAATTAAATATAGTAGTACACTCTTATATACCAAACAAAATGAATAAAAAGAATACATTTTAATCGTCTCGCGGTGTACAGCGGGTTAAAATCTAGTTATATACAAAGACTGTAAGTTTCTTATTGTTTTTCAAAATTTAAATATATATATATATATATTCTATATATTCTTTTTCTAAATAGTTAAAATTTTCTTTTTCTATACTCTTTTTTCCTTTTTATTAATATATTTCTATAGAAAATATTATAATTTTAAAAGAAAAATGTTAATCAACGAGATGTCTAATCACGATTGGTCGTTTAAAACCTTACGTGGACGTTCTCAAAAGCTTATAGATTCAACTTTTATATAGAATAAAAACACGATGACGTTTCGTCAAGGTTACATGACTAGATTAATATATTAACCCACCAAACCTAGACTCTATAACACTTAACATATCTAACTAGGTTATATTAAAAATAGTTATTATTGTTATGTTATTTATCAATCAATCAATAAATGCTTTATATGCTATATATATAAGTCTAACTATTTTAGTTGCATAGATATTTAGACTTACTATAATGTTAAACTAATGACTATCTTTAAACACAAATAGTAATTTAGATCATACTCGATCACCAGCTTTAACAAGATTCACACAAACAAACAACAATACAAATTATTGAATGAATAGTATAGACTCAAACCAAGGTTACAATTTATCGAATCTACCACAGTAATCATTAGTTGACAATGCATATATAATTCCAAAATGCGGTTTCACATGCTTAGAACTAACACCAAGGGTTTAGAGCATAAACACAAAACAAATAAATTCGAGATTCAATAATACCATTACGGTACCATAATGTGGGGTACTAGCACATACATCTAAAAATATGTGTCTACATGAAACCTCAAAGATGCATCTATTTCAGAAAATCATTACATTCAAACAGAGACAATAAGTATTTTAAACACACAATGTAATGTTTCATAGTCAAAGTAAAATCTACCTTTTCCCAATGCATGATACAAAATTCTAAAATGTCATTCACATGTTTAAAACAAGCAGAGGTTTAGAGCCTAACACAGAACAAATATTTTCAAGATTTAAGGAAATGACATTCATAATCTATAGAAGTCACAAATATGTCAAAATAAATATCTATAAGAGACTCTAAGATGCATACATTATATAGGATAAAAGACCTTAGAGAATACACAAGCATTCAAACTTAGAGATTAAAATAATCAAAACACACAATAAGCTCATGTGGAAACGCAAACACTTTTTATGATCTTGAAACTGAATATACCTAGTCTCTCGAATTGGAATCTGTCCCAGAACACATCACATCATCTTTAAGGGTTGATACAGCTAAAGCACCATAAACAACTACTTTGGAGTTAGTTGCACTAGTATAGCTAAAGAATGACAATTAACTGGAAAAAGAAACAATAATCTATTTCTATCAGAAAGTTTAAATTGATTTAACTTGAGACCAACATAAGCATGATCTCTCAGAATCAATTCCACTGACAAATTATACAATTCTTGGAAATGATATCTGGTGTATGTAATCTTGAAAAAAAGACAATGGTAAAAGTCAGATGAATTCAAAAACACACTAGTTATAACAATGCAGTTACCAATGATTAATACACTCTTCCTTATCTGCCTCACAGAAGTAAAATCAACATTTTTTCTTATCAATGATACAATAAGTTTCTAGAATTTTACAGGATAGATCAAAGGATAGTTATGCTATTAAGACAACTAAGATAATAAGTTCTGCTACACTTACAAAATCTCCATGGCATCAATGAGAATATCAACATCTTTCAAAGCACTTACCTGGAGCAAATCAAAATTAGTCAACACTATGGATTTCTCGAGAACAGACTTATAAGTTTAGACTCTGATGAATAAAAATCCATCCATTAGAAACATTATCTTCTCCATAATAAAATTTACATATATTGCTCACTATGAATTGAGAACAGCCGCCTAACATACCTTATCAACATAAAACCATATCTTTTTCAAGTGATAGCTCGGCCAAGTCAACTGAGTAAATACACGAGAAAGATATGTAAGTCGATGCAAACACATCAATGTAAACGCAAGAAAGAAGCTGGTAACTTCGAAGACAAAAGCTTTCCTAGAATCCTCGACAGACAACCTCGCAAAAGTAGCAAACATATTCGCCTGATAAGAAGAAACAAAAGCCATATAAAAAAGAGCTGACAAATCCATGAGACTATCAATATCTTACCTGAGCATTTATGTGTCTCTCGCTTATGATTTTTCATAATTATATCAACTAATTACGAACAAGTTTGTAAAGCACACACAAACAAAAAAAACGTAAAGGTTTGAAAAGCATATACCTGTCAAGAAGTCTGCTACACTTAAACTCTACTCAAAGTCATATACCTGAAAAAATCAGAATCTGTTAGTTTTCATTTTATATGAATGTTATACTTACCTTGTTCGTGCATATTCTTTGTCTTACAACTTTACAATATCGTTGAGCTCAATATCTTTGATTTGCTGGTTGTTTTTACCATCCAACAAGGTACCAAGTCTAAACAGCATGATGTTGGTATATTAGCTCTACTGTCTTGTCTTAATACTTGGATAGACATCATTGAGCCGTCGGTCTATTAGCTCTAAGTTCACTGTCTTGTTCTTTCATGTCTATTGGTTCTTTCATGTCTTTTGTCTTAAATCTCTTTCCAATTCTTTTTTCTTTTGACTCCCAAAGCCTTTCATGTCTTATGTCTTAAGTCTCATTCCCATTCTTTTGTCTTTCGACTCCCAAAGCCGAGGGTACCAAATTTGTAGCTCTACTGTCTTGTCTTAATACTTGGCTAGACATCATTGAGCCGTTGGTCTATTAGCTCTAAGTTCACTGTCTTGTTCTTTCATGTCTTTTGTCTTAATTTTCTTTCCCATTCTTTTTTCTTTTCACTCCCAAAGCCGAGGGTACCAAACTTGTGAACTCTTTGGTTCTTTCATGTCTTTTGGTTCTTTCATGTCTTGTATCTTAAATCTCATTCCCATTCTTTTGTCTTTTGACTCCCAAAGCCGAGGGTACCAAATTTGAGAACTCTTGATCTTTCATGTCTTATGTCTTAAACCTCTCATTCCCATTCTTTTGTCTTTTGAATTCCAAAGCCGAGGGTACCAAACTTGAGATCTCTTTGGTTCTTTCATGCCTTTTGTTCTTTCATGTCTATTGGCTTTTTCATGTCTTTTGTTCTTTCATGTCTATTGGTTCTTTCATGTCTTATATGTCTTAATCTCCTTTCCTTTCTTTTGTCTTTTGACTTTTAAAGCCGAGGGGTACCAAACTTTCATGTCTATTGGTTCTTTCATGTCTTATGTCTTAAATCTCATTCCCATTCTTTTATCTTTTGAATTCCAAAACCGAGGGTACCAAACTTGAGAACTCTTTGGTTCTTTCATGCCTTTTATTCTTTCATGTCTATTGGTTCTTTCATGTCTTATGTCTTAAATCTCATTCCCATTCTTTTATCTTTTGAATTCCAAAGCCGAGGGTACCAAACTTCAGAACTCTTTGGTTCTTTCATGCCTTTTGTTCTTTCATGTCTTTTGGTTCATTTATGTCTTTTGGTTCTTTAATGTCTTGTGTCTTAATCTCTTTCCCGTTCTTTTGTCTTTTGACTTTCAAACCCGAGGGTACCAAACTTGAGAACTCTTCATGTCTTTTGGTTCTTTCATGTCTTATGCCTTAATTCTCATTCCCATTCTTTTGCCTTTTGTCTTCTAAAGCCGAGGGTACCAAACTTATTTAGACGTGTGATCACCCAACAAACCGAAACCTCTTTTCCAACTCGCAACATGCATGCACTACCAAGCCCATAATTGTCTTATGTCTTTTGTCTTAAGAATTAACCCGTAGGTCATTCTCATTCAATCTCTTTATTGTTTCAAGCCGAGGGTACCAAACCGTGAGAACTTTCGTTCTTTTTTTTGCCTTTTGACTTATAAGCCATGGGATCATCCAACAAACTGAAACCTCTTTTCCAACTCGCAACAAGCATGCACTACCAAGCCCACAGTTCATAATACCTCTTGGGACAAATCGAAACCTCTTTTCCAACTCGCAACAATCATGCACTACCAATCCCACAGTTCACAATTTCCCTTGGGACAATGTCCCCAAAATAGAATCTTACAGATGACTATTACATAAGTGTCTGCCTTTGATCTTTTTTGGGATTTGAAAGAAAACAAAAACGAAAACATAAAAAAAAAAACTAAAAGCTCCAACATAAGAATCCGTAAACCAAGTAACCAAAACCAAAAACGGATATGGATTCTTATTAAAGTGAATAATCACTTTTTGTTGTTGGATCAAGAAAACAAAAACACAAAAATATGATCATAAATGGACTGATCAAGGCAGAGAACACACAAAATACAAAACCAAACCACATAAAGAAAAAGAAAAACGTGTAAAAGGCAGAGAAATACCTCGTCGAAAGCTGAGACAAGCTTCATGGGTTAGACTGAAACATAATCTCCCTGAAAACATAGTTTAAGTACAGAACAATTAGTATTGAGACAATGATCAGATTCGAGGATCAGATGAAGAAAACTAACAATTGGATCAAGAACACACAAAAACAAAAAAATCTTGATTCCAACATCACAATCTACACAAGTCAAATACTCAAATAAGATCATTAATGGACTAATCAATTGTTAAGGCAGAGAACACACAAAATACAAAACCAAACCACATGAAAAACAAAAATAAGGATAAGACAGAGACACCAAGCTTCATGGGTTAGACTCAATTCCTGTAACAAAGTTTAATTACAGAACAATTACTATCAGACAAATTAAAAACCAAAAACCCAATCTTACGTTTGCCCATCAAAGTGAAATAGAGAACTTCGAATCAGATGAAGAAACCAAGCCGTCGAATGTGCTTCAAAACCCTAGATCTGTACCATAACAAGAACGATTAGTCAATTCTAAAAACCCTAAAATAAAAATACAAAACACGAAGACGATTGGAGGAAGAAACCCTAACAGATTGTAACAGTTTCGTCCCTAAATCAACCCAAAATCAAAAACCCTAGATCATCGATACAAACATTTATAAGAACGATTACACAAAAACGCGATACAGAGTAGTTGAAATTACATACCAAATCTTAAGATTGTTTAACATGAATCTCCTCCACCGTCGTCGAAGCGTTCTTCAGAGAGAGAGAGAGAAAAAAAAAATTTGTTTCGTTACAAAATTAAAAAGTGATATTGCTTCCTAATATATAACGTTGCGTCTTGATATAACGCGTTTCAATAACAGATATAATTAAACATATATTGGCCGTTAGATTCATTAGATACTTCAATCGGACGGTTCAGCATATTTTGGACGATTAACTTTTTTTTTTTTTGAATTGGCAGTATAATTCAAACGCAGAAACAAAATAAAGGTAATGTTTTTCTCCTAAATGGTCATATTATGTATCTTGACAGTTTAGATGGGTTTCTTAATGGGCTTCTAATAACGTCCATAAATTTAAAATTCAAAATTGAAAAACTCGTCTGGCTCCTTCGCTGAAGAAAACACTTTAGGAAGAACTAGATCATTAACCTGCACTACATGCGGGTATATTTTTATGTTGATTGTTTCACATTAATATAGATTTAATAATCATTTAAACAATATGAGTATATATGTATCAATTATTTTTAATATTATTTAGACTTAGTAACCATTTAAATATGTATTAATATATTATATTATGTAGAAGTTTTATATAACATTTTAATTTTGATTTGTATTAACATAATTGTTCTTTTATTTTTATTTTGAGTATCATTTATATTATTTAAAAAATTGTGTTAATAAGAAAGAAAAAGTAAAAGTTGCATATGGTTAGTTAAATATTATTTTTAATATTTTGGTGGACAAAAAGAAAAAAAAATTGACATATTTCTAGTCTTTTTCACCTACAACAATCAGATTGAGTTTTATTAGTTAAGTTGTTGTGATATATGGTGGACACTAACTTCTATGACTTCCTCATTTTAGGAGAAATTAGGGGGTGTATTCAAAATAGCATTTTAACAGATTTGAATTTTATTGAGATTTTGATGATTTAAGGGAACTTCATATGATTTATGTAAAATCCTTTCAAATCCCACCTAAAACTATGAGATTTGGATTCTTGTATTTTTAATTACGTAAGTTCCCTTAAATCCTCTGAAATCATTTAAAATCGAATCCACAAACTGTTTTCAATAACAGTGGATTTTAAGGTGGAATTTAAAATGTTTAGTTCAATAACACTGGATTCATGAGACTTTTTAAAATCCATGATTGAATAACACAGAATTTGTAAAAAGTTTACAAATCACTTGAAATTCCACTTTGAATACATCCCCCTTAGTATCCGCAATCTCACTATTATTTGTCTTTTCTACTCACTTTATTTTAGTTAGTATACCTCTTTTAAATATAACATTATACAATATAAAATTGGAAGCTATAAGTTCCTTAAGGCGTCCAGATAAGATTTTAAACGAGCAATCGCGGTTGGCCATTTTCACTATTTGACATTTTCAAAGTCACAATATTTTCTATATTAAGTTTTTCTTTTAATGTAAAAAGGAAAAAAAAAAGATTATGAAATAAAAGAAATATATGAAAATATGGAAGTATTTCTAAATTTTATTTTAAAATTTCTAGAGATAACGTTAAATTTCTAGAAATTATTATGCCAGTTTGTCCTATAGTTTTAGCTATAAATATAGAGCCTCGGCTACAACATTAGATATCGAATTTTCACTAGGTTTATTAGTTAGCGTTGATACTACTGTTTTAAATATTGTTTTTGTTCTTTTATAATTGATTTTTCTATTATATGTTATGTTCAGTGAGTTTTTATTATTGTACTACTAAATTCCATCTGCGCTTTTTCCTACATTATTCTTCTCCCTTTCCTTCAAGATTTCCTACGAAAACAATATTTAAATGAATTTTGTAGGAAATTTTTCTTCCACTTTTTGACACGATATTTTTGTAGTGAAATTCCCCTACCAGTTATTATTTTGTAATAAATACGAAGTTTTTTTGTAGAAACTTTTTCCTTTCAAACAATTTGTAGGAATTTTCGTAGGAAATCAGCATGTTTTCTTGTAGTGATATGTATATATATATATATATATAATCCCTATATTAGTAAAAGAGAAGTACAAAAGTGCTTCCGGGTCGGGTTATTAAAATTTTTTTACCCGAAATTATGATTTTGGATACTTAGAAATTGGGTAAAAAAACGGGTTTGGATATTACTCAATAATGAGAATATCGACAACTTGAATATTTAGCATCATTAGTTAGGCTATGAAAGTGCATTAATCAACAGCTTAAATGCGAGACAAAAAATCCCACAATTTTAGGTAACTTATACCTAATTATGTATAGAGAATTGTATTAAATGAAAATTTTGAAACATTAACGCTGACTAACATAAAATCATTTTAAGGAAATAATTGTAAATCATAACTTAAGAAAATATACTTAAAAACATCTCAATCTTTACAAAAATATTCTAACAAGGAAACTACTCTAGTCTTTGCGATTTTATCGTGTGCAACTTAATTACTTATTTAAATATGGAAGTATTAATATTTTATATTTCAAATATTATTGTCGAATATTATTTGAACCCTAACTTATAGACGCTGTAAGTTATGCTATATATATATCATATGAACAAATGGTTAATCGTATCATACCTTCCACAGTTTCTTTTATTTTTAAAAATAATCTTTCTTCCGCAATGTCTCTATTACATACAATGATACGATCTAAATTACAAATACATGAAACTAAAAAACAGTATATTACCGATGAACGCTTCTTCTAAAGAACTCTTCAACACAGAACTCTCAAACCAAAAATAAAAAAGTTTCTAAGAAAAACATCGGGAGTAATAAATAATTCAACGGTCGTCCGGCTACTGTCTTTGCTCCATTTCTGAATCTTCTTATCATTTGTGTTCCCTGAGTTTTAGATATGGTACTTCTTCTCCCTTACGATATTTTAGTGTTTTACGTTCATGATTCTCGATTTGAATTTGTCTCCATTTGGCTTTAGTACCAGTGATTTGTTTTATTCGGCTACAACTTAAATTTTGCTTAAGAGATGACTGCTCCTCCTGCTAGAGCTCGTGCTGATTACGATTACCTCATTAAACTTCTTTTGATCGGAGACAGCGGTAGGTTTCTTCATCATTTCAGATCGTAATATTTGCCTTTGTTCCTTGCATTTTTTTGTAATCAGTTTATTTCTTTACCTTTTTTTTTTTTGGCTGATAGGCTTCAAGTTTTGTTTGAAGGATATGTGAGAGGCTTCTTCTACAGAACTCTTCAACATAAATGCAACATCGATTTTAAATAAGGAGCCATGATCTGGATTGTCTTTAGTTTATGATATTTTTTGGGTTTTCGGATAATATAAAGAAATGGAGGACATTGTTTAGAAGGCATAAACAAAAGAGTATCATCCAATCGACAAGAAAACATGATTGAAATCGGCTTTTTATAAAATTTAAAATGTACAAATTATTGCTCCATCTTTTTACAAACTCGCCTTACGAAGCCCATTTAGCTTAAGGCCAAAATAAACTCCTCTATTTATTATATATATATATATATATATATATACACATTAAACTATAATTTCAAAATTAATATTATTGTTATATAAAATTGTAAAAAAGACAAATGTATTATAATTACTTCCTTCTAAAATATGTCTACAAAATCATAAGATCTGTTTTACTTTTACAAACACTATATTTTATGATATTTTATAATTTTACTTTTACCAATTTACTCCTATTGAAATTTACAAACTCCATATTATCAAGCATAAATTTAAATATACACCAAAGTATAATAAAAGTAAAAAATAAAAAATATTATATTTTGAAATTATTTCCCCGCGCTGTAGTATATATAATTCGATAATCACAAAACAATACTTGAAGAAGCCTAACTTTTCATTACTCAACATTTCAAATGTAAAACCATGCAGTGTGTTTTCTCTTAATTATACTATTATAACAACAAATGAAGTAGACCTCTCAATTTGCGTTTTTTTTACAGGTATAAAAACTATATAATACAATATACATGTAAATGTAATAAAAATTTTAAAACCGATAATTTTCCCCCGCGCTGTAGCGCGGGTTCGAGCCTAGTTAAGTTTACATAACATGTGACCTTTGATCCAAAACCATAGATGCTCATGTTGTCAATGGATATAATTTGAAAAATTGAGTTTGTACAAAGGAGTAGATAAAGAACCAAACAAAAAAATTGTTAAGGTATTAGTAATTCTATTGATAAGGTATTAATAATTCTGTGTTTGTTTTGGTGTGTTTATATGTTTCTATATGTTTGTATGTAAACCTATAGTTTTAATATACAACTAGGAGTGTCAATATGGATAACCCAACTCAACTCAACTCAATACCTAATGAGTTTAGAATTAAATGGGTAATGAGTTGACTCAACTCATTTGTTTAAATAATTTGAGTCAACCCATAAACTCATTTAATCTCATGGGTTAAATGGTTAAATGAGTTGACTCATTAGTGATAATAGTAAATTAATTAAATATTCTATTAATAAATGACTCATTAGTGATAATAGTTGATTAATTAAATATTCTATTAATAAATAAATATATTATTGAATTATGATCATCATATATCATTATTATATACCATCATACCATCATTATCAATTCATCATACAATCATCACCATCATGTGTTTTTGGCGGAAAAATTATGGATTAATTTTTTGTGGAAAAACTATGATTTACCTTTTTTGGCGGGAAATCTCGGATATTTTTTTAGACGGGAAAATTACGGGTTTACGTTTTTGGCGGGAAGATTGCAAGTTACGTTTTTGGCCGGAAAATTGCGAATTTACGTTTTTGGCGGGAAAATTGTGAAGTTACGTTTTTGGCGGGAAAAATGCGAATTTACGTTTTTGGCGGGAAAATTATGGGCTTACGTTTTTGGCAGGAAAATTATGGGCTTACGTTTTTAGCGTGAAAATGGCAAGTTACGTTTTTGGCGGAAAAATTGTTTTTATGGTTTTGGCCAAGATTGTAGTGATGAAGGTGATGGTGATGATGATTATAATGATAATGATGATGATAATGATGTATGTGATGTCGATGATGTGATGATGGTGATGGTGATATCGATGATGTGATGGTGGTATGATGGTGATGATAATGATGTAATGATGTGATTCAACTAGTTTAGTATTTGAGTTGGTTTAACTCAATTGAAGAAGAATTAGTGGATTAAATGGTTAAAACAAGTAATTGAGTTGGTTTAACACAATTGAACAAGAACTATATTATCATGCAGAACAACACCAATCATGAAACTCTGTGTTCCTCTAGAGTCTACAATAGTCAAGGTCAGGGTTGCAAGTGTAACCACAAACACGACCTCGACTATCACAATACGAATGATCAACAATCGATGTCTAGGTCGGTCGAAGTACCTAAAATAGGCGGTTAAATAGATGGCCATAATGCTCACTCCTATCCCGTTAGTAATGAGCATCGTAGTATTAAAGGTTTTGATTTAACTCCATTCGGTTCTAATTTTTTCGCTTTTAAAGATTATGATCCAATAAGGTACCCAAAAAACAAGGCTCCGTTCCGGTCCCCATCCACTTCTTTTGGTTTTGGAATGTATGATCCCATTCAGACATTTGGACATTAAAAATAAAGAAAAAAAATAGTTAACCAAAAGTAGCAAAACATAAGTAAAATCTAAGCAAATGTAAACAAATTAAATTGCAAAACATAAGTAAAATCTAGGCAAATATAAGAAACACTATATACTTATTAAAGAAATTTCATGCACTAATAATGATATTCTCTCGTTTGCTCTGTATTTTCTATTTCTTCTACATTTTTTTTATCACACTTGTTGGTGATATTCTTATTCATGGCTCATATGACCGATAACGAATACTACATATGCAAAAGAGTTATGGGAATAATAGGGACTTTAATCAGTGTTTATCTCTTCATGGTGAGGGAATCGTTCCACTGGAAAAGTATTTGCATATGATGAATCTGGTTTCTATACGGAAGGCCAATTATTCATCCCCCATCGTACCATATTGATGAGATATGTCGTAAATGGCATTGGAATAATAATTCATCTTGCATTTGCATACATCACCATTTTTGTAATATTTGGCAAAAAGCAGATAATCCTACTTGTTGTTTAACGGAGTTCATGTCATTGGCCATCATCGCGTGCTTCCTAATGACGTTATACTAGAAAACGGTAAATCCTAACAAAACAAAAGAGGATCACTGTGACTATGGTATGTGTTTTTTTTTTGTTTTTTTTAACTATGGTGTATGTATTGCATGCTGTTTAAAAAATATTGTCTTCCTTTGATATGTTTGAACTTTTAAATAACATGTGTAACTGAAAGAAAAAAGAAAAAAAAACTTTGTGCGATTCTTTAATTTATGGGATTCATTTTTGGCTCACCATTTTTTGATTTTGCTATTTTCCCAAATTTTCTTTCAAATAGCCATGTTTTACAATTCAAAAAAAACTTTAAAAAAATATAAAAAATTAATACAATTCATACTTAATAACAATTACTATACCCTACAAAAAGATAGAACCAAATCAACCCAAACATTATATAGAATTGTGTATTTGTATAAAATAAAAATTGTATATATATAATGAAAACAAACCTAACTACTTGAATTGTTCGTTGTGGGCAGCTTTGTCCTCTTACCATATCCTTTTTGGACAAAATCTCATCAAGATACTCACAATGGTCTCTATGGTATTCGATCCATACAAACAAACTGTCTTATCAATCCTTTTTTCTCTTATCCTAATCCCAACAATGTGTCCTTCAACTTCTCATTGTCTCTTTCCTCTTATTTTACATGACCTTCAAACTTCTTCTCTATTTCTTCTTTATCTTTCTTAATCTTTGCCACACATTTTCTTTGTTGTCAAAAGCATCTTTGTCACATTAACCACCGTTTCCACATACCTTTTGTGCTTTTCCTCAAGCTTTTAGACAAAGATTATATAAGTTTAGTATTGTGGAATCCACTCTCTGTAATCTCTTTGACCATACCTCGATATGTTTCGTTTGTCATTGGAATCTTCTCCTTAAGCAATGCTTGACGTTCCTCAAAATGTTTACCTTCCTCAAAATGTTTACTTTCTATTCTCTTCAACTCTCACTCTTTCTCGGTCACACTTGTTCGGTTACTTATTCATCAAGCTCTCTATCTCTTCTTTTTCATCTCTACTTCATTACGTACACTCTCTACCGTTACTTCCAAATCTAGATTCCTTCGATGCAACATCTTTACCGGTCTCTTCCATTGTATTCTCTTTCTCCTTCGTCGTCTTGTATACTATTCTAGGGTTAACATTTATATCCAATATATTATATACTAAGATTGTAATTTTCATATATTCCATATATTATTTTCCAGAAATTTATATTTCAAAATTTATTATATATAACTTTTCCAAAAATTACAAAAATTAATATTTTTATTTTTCTCTATATTCATTTCATTTTTGTTAATATATATGTATAGAAAAAATCAGAATTTAAAAATGTTAGTTTATGAGATAGCAAAAATGTTAAATATTGAGATGTCGAATCTTAATTGGTCGTTTAAAATCCTATGTGGACGCCTTTAGGAGCTTATAACTTCAACTTTTATATAGTATAGATAAATTAATCATTAATTTATAAATATATAAAATTAAAATTATTTATTAACTAGGGTAAATAAATATATTACCCTATAACTAGAAACATATAGCGCTATTATCCTATTATAGCCATATATCTAGTCAAGTAGACTTTTATAACTAGAAACTTATAGCTTCGACTTCTAATAAAGTGTTATTTAAACATTAATCAGATTAACAGTACTATACATATAACCTGTCTATTTTTATATGTTAGTGATCTAAATATCTCAATATTTAACATTTTCGAAATTATATTTGTTTTCTATTTCTAAGATTTATTTGCAAAAAAGTAAAAAATACGATATATGGAAAAAAATATATAGAAAGTAATTTGAATAATTGTTTTTGAGTAAATTCCTTATTTTAAAATGTAAAAATTCTAAAAATCTAGCCTGACAATTTAGCTATAAATATAAGGTTTTCACCACCACATTAGAATACAGTATAGTTGATTTGATAGAATTAAATTTGTAGCTCCAATTAATTATTTTCTTTGTAATTCATATTTTTGATTATATTTTTTTTTGAATTTGCCTTCTTTTAAGATGCTTATCATCAGATGATTTTGTGCATATATTTCATTCAAAGTTATCGATAAATTTCTTTAGTTATGTTGTATTATTATACTGCTTTGATTATTTAGTACAGGTCTAACTTTTTAATTTGTTTTGTTTTGTAACTGGAGTACTTTCTATATTGGTACATTTGATCGTAAAAGCAAAGGAATTGGATATGAGGTTAGGCGGACCACAATCCGTTTAAAAAATAAAAACAAATACCATATATGGAATTTAGAGAAATCCAATATTATGGAATATTTTTAAAATTATTTTTCGCTTTCAAAATAATAAACGTATAAAATTAATTAACATATTAAATTTAAAGTTAAAAAAAAATTAGAAACGAAACAAATTAGTTTCTATAACTAAGATACTTTCATAAAGGAAAAACCAAGATATATGGAAGTCAGAGAAATATAAAATTTTAAAAATAATATGTTTTATGTAATAAAGCAAAATATAAAAGAAATATTCAAATATATGAAAACATTTAAATATTTTTTTTAAAGTTCTCAGTTTCTAAAATTATTTAATAGAATTACAAAAATATTTATAAGAATCTACCATTATCTCAATAAATGTTTTAGTATTCAAGCTTTAATCATAATACCCATATTACTGGCTGATATTTTTAAAATTTAAATTTTAATATCAATAAATAATTGAGGGGAGAAAATATAACTATATATATTGAAGCAAAATGTGAATATCTAATTTTATTGATACACATAAAGGGAAAATAGTTATTATGAGTTTTTTAACCTAATCAAAATAACAATATTTTAAATACTTAGATATACATATAACCTAAGCGGTGTATTAATGGCTTAGATATACATGTTTTACATAACTTTAGGCTGAATCATATGTGAACAGCCTAAGGAGCTTATATATAGCTTCAACTTTTATATAGTATAGACTAGGTTGATAACTCGCGTTACGCACGGGTATATTTGTATTGATTGTTTAAAATTGTTATAGATTTAGTAATCATTTAAATGCGCAAGTATGTATGTGGACGCCTTTAGGAGCTTTTAGCTTTTATATAGTATAGATTTTTCATTTTTTTTTTTACATGATGAGGCCAAATCTACTGATATATGCACATGTTTATTATCTTTGGAATAATAAATATATTTTTTTTTAACAAGGAATAATAAATATTTTTACACCATATCTTTTCTCTTAAAAATACATCGTTTGGTGCACAAGAAAAAAGAAGAAAAGTATCGTTTAAAATAGTTAAAATAATCCTTTTCCTTTTATGTTTAAGCAATAACCAAAATTCTTCTTATGATAATAAATTTATAGAGTTGACGACACAATATAGGTTAGGCATCTCTAAAACTTCTTCTACGGCACCAATACACCAAATATATAACCCTAGCAAACTAGTCCCTCCTATTATAGGTTCTGAATCTCTCAATCTATCTCTAGCTTCTGTATTGGAGAATCACGATCTAAGCTTAGCTCCAATATGAGTTTGGGGTTGTCTAAAAGCCTAGCTGGATACAAACTAGACTTCAGCTCTGATGAAAAGGTAGCCCTAGCTCTAGTTTATATTGTCTTCTATTTAGTAATCTTGATTACAACTTGTTCTATACGTTTAGGGTTAGTGTAACTTTTGTAATTATGTAACTTCTTAGCATCAATGTTCAATGTTAGGGTTTAAATTGTTACTTATATATGATCCCCTCATAATTTTATGTTTTTTGTTAGGTGGAGACCCTGGTGATTAAAGCTATAGGTCAGCTTGATGATCTTGATAAACAGCTTAACAATTACGCAAGGAGTGTTCGTGAATGGTACACTTTGCATTTTCCTGAGCTTGCTAGGATCGTACATGACCAAATCCTATATGCCAAAGCTGTGAAACTTATGGGAGATCGGACTAATGCTGCAAAGCTTGACTTCTCTGAGGTATAAACCATGTTTTCACCATTCTCTAGTAAATTATTTTGTTCATGATTTGTTACTTAGTTATATATGCCTCATCTCGCAGATATTGAGTGATGAAGATGAAGCAAAACTAAAAGAGGCGGCTGTGACATCTACTGGATCAACTGAAGTCATGAGTGAACTTGATTTTACGCACATTGATGAACTCTGTGACCATGTTCTGTCTCTTTCTGAGTACAAACTTCAGCTTCATGACTTCTTGAAGAGTAGAATGAACACAATTGCACCAAACCTAACTGCCCTTGTAGGTGAGATGGTTGGTGCTCGGCTAATTTCTCGTGGTGGTAGTTTGTTGAAACTCTCAAAGCTACCTGGGAGCAAGATTCAGATTCTTGGAGCTGAAAAGGCCCTAAGGAGAGCCTTGAGGACAAATCACAACACTCCCAAGTATGGTGTAATGTACAACGCACCTCTTGTTGCACAAGCTACACCAAAGTGCAAGGCTAAGATAGCTAGGTCACTAGCTGCAAAAGCTGCTCTTGCTGTCCGTTGTGATGCTCTTGGTGATGGCCAAGACAACACTGTGGGAGTGCAATGCCGCTTAAAGGTACTCTTCAGTATCTTTCCTCTCCTGCTAAAAGATTCTAGCTATATCTAATTGATGGTTAATTAATTAATTACCATTTGGTCTAATTTTTATGACAGATGGAAGAACGGTTGAGAGATCTTGAAGGAAGAGGGTTAGGAGATATGTCTGATGATGGGGAAGAAACTGAAACTGAGGAGCCTCCGAAGAAGAAGAAGAAGACAGAACCCGAAGAAACGGAACACGAGAAACAGAAGAAAATTATAATCTTGATTTTCTTGATTTTTCTGATCTATTTGGCTTATTTAAACTGGCCGTGAGTACATGTTTAGTTTCTCTCCGTTTTGTCAGGAACAAAAAATGTTTGTCTTCTGCTGCGTCAGGTGTGGTTTCTTGTTTTTTATCTTTTGCCTTGGGTGTTAAGTAAGGTTTGCTACAGCAAGAGTTACAAAGACCTAATTTAAGTTTGTATGTGTCGTCACTACGACATCTTTAATTCTCTCTACAATACATATCTTGTTGTGTTGCTTCTACTCTCCTTCTCACTCTCATTCTCTCTTCCTCGTCTCCTGTAAGAAACGTGAACCCAAACAGTAACGAGCGGTGACTTGCTCTCAACGCAATCAAATGGGATTTTCCAAAGTCTCTCTATCTCTGTGTTCTCTCCATAGCCAACGTAGCCGTCTTCGTAACCTCTCTCTCCAAGAGTTCCGATGTTGTTTACTCTTTCTCCAGCTACTCTCAAGAAAATATCAGGAGATAGATTTGGGAAAGCACTAGCCATATATAGCACCAAGCTAGAAGCTTTACGTACCAAGGAGTTCTAGATTTGGGATACAAAGTTAGCTCTTTGGTTTGAGAATTAATCTTTGAGATTTTTTTCCTTTTCTCTTTTTGACTCCTTGCTATCAACTAACTAAGGTAGTGTAAATCTGCGGCTTGATATAGATGATATCTTCCCCGTTCTTAATTTGCAGCAAGAACAAGAACAAGTCTTCAACAATGAAGCACTATTAGGAGTTTTTTTCAGCAAAAATCAGAACAGTTGTGTACCGTTGGAGACCAAAGGAATTGTGGGATTGTGAAAAGTTAGCTCCTTAAGCAAAGAATATATGAGCATTTAGATGATGATTAGTGAGGGGTAAGCTTTAGAATATAAACTTTATTTGATCTAGTTTGTTGATTGTGTTTGATAGAATTTGTGATTGTCAATAGGGGAAGTTTGTTTCTCTTTGTCCTCCATCTCATAAGAAATTAGTACTCATGTTGTGTGAGAGTAGTAAGTAGTAGTTGATGTTGTTAACTAATATTTGGTTTGGATTATTCTTTATAAGACATGTTGGCCCTATTCTTTTTCCTGTAGCTGGCGACAGAAACCACGACAACGACACAATATTGTTCGTTTGCTTGTTGCCGGTACAGTGACCGGTTACATTGACTATCGTCAATGATCGTAATTTCACGTTGTTTAGTAATTGGTTTAAAAAACGTGGGCGACAACTTTTAAAAAATTATCTAATTACTAAAATACTTTTGTTACTTTTGTAAAATCACAAAGAATGACCTAACCCTAAAATCCGAAATTATCTTTTTCGTTGGATTTAAATTTCTCTTACTTCTCTCCTTGTTCTTCTTCATTGGATTCTTATATCTCTCTTATATTCTCTTCTTCGTCAGACGATTCTAGTTTTCGTAAGCTTTTCATTTCCTAAGCTCCAATTCGATTTGTATGATTGTGAGAAAATTTTGTTTTGTTTTGGTGGGTTAGATGTTGCTTAATATTGGCGGGTTGGAACTTTGAACTGTTATCCATATCTGTGAATTGGGTTCTTCGAATTCTGATATGAAACCATTTGATTTTTTATTTTTTGAAATCAGGTTTTCAGATCTAGCATTGAATTATCAATTTAAGAGTATAATTATCAATTTAAGAGTATAATACTAGTTTTGTGTGTGTGTTATCTTATAGTAGAAGAGAAAGACAAAAGATCCAAAGGTGGAGAAACTCTAGGAGCAACAATTTGTGAAGGAGAGAAAAAATCATTGGATACAATGAAAAGGAAACTTGATGAAGTTTTGAGCGTTATTTTGAAATTTGCAGCGGATACAATAAATTTGTGAGAATGTTAGTTAACAAGGGTAAGCTCAATAATGAGTGATGATGATCTATATTGGCCTTATTTCAAAGATTGCATTGAGCACTTGATGGAACTCACATCCCAGTACGGCCTCCTACTACAAATGCAATAGCTTACAAAGGAAAGAAATTGGAACCAACAATAAATGTCCTTGCAATATGTCTTTAATATGAAATTCATATATGCATATGTTGGTGTACAAGATATAGCTCACGATACAAAGGTAACTCATTGTGCGAAGAAGGAAGTTTCTTTTGTCCTCCACAAAATGGAAAGTTTTATTTGGTAGACTCTGGATATACCACAAGGACAATATATCTTGGTTTGCATTGTCGAGTTCGATATCACCTTGATCAGTTTGATAGAGGATGACCTCCAACAAACACGCGAGAGTTGTTTAATGAAAAACATTTATGACTACAATCAGTAGTTAAGATGACTTTTGGAGTTTAGAAAGCAAAATGGAGAATTTGAAATCGTAAACATCCTACGTGGATCAAGATTGTCACAACGACCACGACACTACACAACTTCATACGTGAATCACATCGAGAGGATTATGCTTTTATAGAACAGAAGAATTTCATATTCTTAGCGATGAAGAAGAAGACAACGATGATGTTGATGATGATGATGATGATAATCATGGTTGCAAAAAAAAAAACAATATATGTATAAATAGCTCTAAGAAACATAGAACCAAAAATTAGTTTCATCACCTTCTTCCTCCGAGGTTGATGATGGTTCCAATAGAGTTGTTGATGATGATGATGATGATAATAATTACGAACCAAACATGGTAATAAATAACAAAAAGGAAGTAAATATTTTTAATATTCAACACAATATTACAACCATTTAAAAAACAAAAACAAATCTTTTTAAAACGCTAAATTTGTTAAAAAATCCACAAAACCCGAATAAAATTTTTTCTCCTAGTCCGGCTTAGTCCAAATCTTTAATTCTAAATCACTTTTAAAAACCGGAGAAACCACATTCTCCTCTCTCTCTCTCTCTCTCTCTCGCTGTTGATTTTGGAAGACGAATCTTCTTTGCGCGTTAGGGTATTACGATCGGAGGGAAGCTTTTGTTCGCCGGAATCAATGGATGCTACCAATAACACCACCAACACCACGGCGAGTAATGTCGCCCAAGCGATTCTCGCCGTTCTCGATTATAACTCTACTCCCGATGCTCGTAAAGCCGCCGTTGCATTCCTCGAATCTGTATAATTACACTTCCCCTCTCTTCTTCTTCTTCTTCTTCTTCTTCCTTAATTTTTTTCAGTTTTCCAAAATCTGTTCTGTGATCGATTTGCGTCTGTACTGTAATTTCCGGTGTATGTGTGTTTTTTTTTTGTAGCTTTGTGTTGCTTTCACTGGTTTTAGGTATTTGTGTTTGCGATTCTCTGAGGTTTATATGTGAATGCTGAGGCTTTGCTAGATTTGAGGCTTAAATTTACCAGTGATCCTGCTTTGAGGGTTTCTTTTGTTGTGCATAATTAAGATTTAAGGATTTGCCTAGCTTTTGTTTTTTTAAGGGTTTGTTGTGTTTTCTGATTGCTGTTTATCTGAGTGGTTCTGCTTGTTGAGGCGTGTTTTAAGGTTTGATTACTAGTGATCCTCGTTTAAGATTTCTTTCAAGCTCTTGTTTAGCTTATGGTTCCTCTCAGATGTTTGGCGTTTAAAGTTTCCTTCAACTCTAGTTAGGACTTAGGAAAGCTTGATTCATTTTGATAAGTTCATATGACTTGAGTTATTTTCTCATTTGTGGTTTAAATTGGTGAGGAGTTTTGATTGAGGTTTAAACATGCGGCAATTAATTGCAAAATCTGTTTTTGAGCCTAAATTTCTTGCAGCGATCACTGTTTTGGGAAGCATGAATCTTGTTCAGTTTATTAGATTGTTTCTTGAATACCCCTGAGGGTTTTACAAACTTCTTTTCACTTGTTTTGATTGAACTGTTCGTGTTCTGTTTTGTTACAATAACTGCAGATTAAATCTGGAGATATCAGGGTTCTAGCAAATATTTCCCTACTTCTAGTGAAAAAGGAGTGCTCTTCGGAAATTCGACTGCATGCCTTCAAAATGTTACAGGTTTGTGCAAAGCTATATTACTTTCGAATATCAATAGAATATCTATTAACTGCTGTTTCTGAGTTAAACCGGGAAATTTTAGATGTTAGGGCGAAAGGATAGATATAAGTCCTTGCTTTGGTCTTTGGTTGCCTTTTTCAAGTTCAAAACTCGCAGTCAATTTTCAGTTTCCAAATAGTCAGGAGGTTCTGTATGAAAATAGTATCCTACAGAATGAGATACTGCGGAGAACTCTTCTAGGAAACTAATTGGCTTGCATGTCAAATTTTGATGGATTTCTTCAGCATTGTTTTGGTAAACTTAATTTAATGACTTTATGTCAGTGCTATAATGAGATTACCATATCAGTATTTAAATTTTGCATATATCTCAACCCTTCGGAATATCTCAGTGCATCATGTTGTGTGCTACATCTATACATGAAAATTGCAAACATTATATTAAGAAGAGCATACCAACCTTATTGGATATTTCTCTCTTTGCAGCATTTGGTTAGACTACGGTGGGAGGAATTAAGCCCCTCAGAGCGCAGGGATTTTGCTAAGCTCTCTGTGGAACTAATGTCTGAGACTGCTAGTCCATGTGAGGAGTGGTCTCTGAAGAGTCAGTCAGCTGCCCTTGTAGCTGAGGTAGTTCAAGTTTGTTAATGTTTGCATTCATTCAATTTGTGTGGATTAATATTCGTTTCTTCATACAGATAGTTAGAAGAGAAGGCCCCGATCTTTGGCAGGAGTTGTTTCCCTCACTAGCTTCCTTGTCTGCACAGGGACCTTTACAAGTATAATGCTTTCTCATTTAGTTAGTTAGTACCTTTTTTTTTAAGGTAGACATGTAAACTGTTACTGAATAATCATAAATACCAGGCTGAAGTCGTCTCAATGATGCTGCGATGGCTACCTGAAGATATAACAGTTCACAATGAAGACTTGGAAGGTATTTAAGAGTGAATTTTTTGTTAGTGCTATAATAGTCAGGTTGCAAACACACATATTTGCTAACCTTTGAAATTTTATTATATTCTAAATGCAAACTTTCAGTCGTTGGTCGACTGACATATTTTGGAAAATAGCACCTTAATGTGAATAGTTTTTATGTTGCCTTACTGATTAATTTCACACAAATTTCTTAGAAGTACCTTGTGGGTCTAAATTTTCATCTAAACTGCCTGTTCCTCTCTAACTTCTACTTGGACTTTCTCTTCAGGTGACAGGCGTCGGTTATTGTTGCGTGGACTTACTCAATCTCTGCCTGAGATTTTGCCTTTATTGTATAATGTATGCTGCATTTTTTTCACTAATTTATGTTGTTTGTTTTAGCGGTAATTTGATTCATTACATAATGCAGCTTCTCGAGAGACACTTTGGAGCTGCCATGAGTGAAGCTAGTAGGCAACAGGTTGAATTGGCAAAACAGCATGCAGCTGCGGTTATAGCTTGTTTAAATGCCATCAATGCATATGCCGAATGGGCTCCTGTTCTAGATCTTTCCAGATATGGAATTATCAATGGGTATGGTTTTCTCATATAGAAAAAAATATACAGACCATCAGTATGCAAATATATTTTGCTAAACGTGCTCCCTAAATTTGTAATAGGTGTGGTGCTTTACTTTCTTCTCATGACTTCCGTCTTCATGCTTGTGAGTTTTTCAAAATTGTCTGCTCAAGGTATGCAACTGGGCTGTTTGGCCGGATATATTTATATTATGATTAGTATTTGAAAATTGAAAGAAAAAAAAAACTTTCCTTGTCTGCAGAAAAAGACCCAGTGATGCTCCTGGTGCTGAATTCGATTCTGCAATCAGCAGTCTGTTTCAGAGTCTGATGAATGTCTCCAGAGAATTCTTATACAGATCAGCCTCAAATGCTGGGGTTATAGATGACAGTGATTATGAGTTTGCTGAGTGCATATGTGAAAGTTTGGTTTCTTTAGGCTCAACAAACTTGCAATGTATTGCTGCTGATGTTGGTGTTCTGGCTTTATACCTTCAACAGGTACTGGCATCGTTATGTAATTGTATTTAAATAATGAAATGGAAGTTGTCTATAATGCTCATGGAAAACCTGGGAAGTAAATAATCAGCTAGGATGTAGGCTGTACTTTGTTTCAGGATGGACTAGTTCTTAGATAACGTAACCGGTTCTTTCTTATCATGAGCCAACCTTTCAAAAGCTTGATTATCTTATCCTAATCTTGTTCCTCATTTAGCCGAGTCCATGTTCTGTGACAATGTGATTTATGGCCATTTTTTGTATTATTTTGCACTATTTAATCTGTTACTTGCTTGACTATTTAATTTCTTTTTTTATCGTAGATGCTTGGTTTCTTTCAACACTTTAAGTTGGGTCTTCACTTTGAAGCAATGCAGTTCTGGCTGGTATGTGGTATTCTATGTTAAGCACTTCTCCCAAGTCCCAAGCCTACCATCCACTGGAAAATATCAACCACAGACATAGTAAAGATTTTTGGGCTGACATTTGTGCTCTTCTGCATTGTCTTGTAGGCATTAATGAGGGATTTACTTTCAAAGCCGAAGGCTGCCGCTAATCTAAGTGGAGAGGGATCAGCAGTTGGTGGTGTTCAGAGTTCAAGCCATGCTGAGAACGAAAAGAAAAAGATTCTTAGTCTTATAAATGATGATATCTCTTGCGCAATCCTGGATGTATCTTTCCAGCGGATGCTCAAGAAAGAAAAAGTCCCTCCTCGGATTGCTCTTTCTCTTGGACCACTGGAACTGTGGAGTGATGAGTTCGATGGAAAGGGAGACTTTGGCCATTACCGATCAAGGCTTGTAAGTTCCTGAGAAAAATGCATTAGATAGTACTTCGCAAACACACATTAACCAGAAACTTGTTTATTTGGCGCAGTTAGAATTGATCAAGATTGTTGCTTCTCACAAGCCCCTTGTTTCTAGTACCAAAATAGCCGAAAGGATTATCACTCTCATTAAAGATCTGCTGGGTTCTCCAGTTCAACTTCAGGTTTTTTCACTGTCTTGCTTCTTGCTGCTGAGTTTTTCACAATATTTTACTTCTGATAGCTGTGATATACAGTATTTATAAGTAATTTTGATACAAAACGTGCATTTTCAGGATGTAGCAGTACTGGACAGTCAGCAATTGGCTTTTGATTCTATTGTGGCAACGGTGTTTGATGGGTCAAATGAGTTTGCTGGTGGTAGTTCTGAAGTCCATTTTTCATTGCGTGGAATATTTGAAGGTATGTGGTACCATATTTTACATTCTCCAACTTTTGTTTACTTTTCACATTTTTAAAACCCCGTTAATTCATTCTGGGGTTGTTGATATAAGCAGGCTTGCTTCAGCAGCTTCTCTCTTTGAAATGGACTGAGCCGGAACTTATAAAAATGCATGCACACTATCTGGATGCAGTTGGTCCCTTTCTCAAGTATTTCCCAGATGCAGTTGGGAGTGTTATCAACAAATTATTTGAACTTCTTACCTCTCTTCCATACATTGTCAAGGTTTCCTACTGTTACATATCTTCCGTGTTTGAATTTATCCATGCATATGCATATATATACAAACAATATGATCAATATCCAATGTACATTGCCTAAAGTCAAGAAGTGAATGAGTAAATTTATAGCATGTTATCTTGGCAGGATCCAGCAACTAGTACTTCAAGAGTTGCAAGATTACAGATTTGTACGTCTTTTATACGGATAGCCAAAGCCGCTGAAAAAAGTGTTCTGCCTCACATGAAGGTAAATCTGATCTCTCACTCCATCCCTTTAGAGACTCAAATTCAAATCCTGGACTTACTTTTATTCAGATCTTAACGCTAGAAAGTTCTCATGTGATTTGAGAAGCTTGCCGTATGCTCCTGATATATATTGGAGACCTTGTATAGGAAAATCTTTGAGCTGGTTATTCGTTTCAGGATTTGAATAAGAGGTGTTTGGTTTACACGTCTTGTTTATATTAAACCAAGATAATACCTATTGTTGGTTATTGATCTTATATTGTGCAGCACACCTATTCATGATTAGTTAGACTATGACTTCATTTGTGTGCTAAAAGGATGAACTTATATTGGGAAGGTCGCCTATCCACAAATTATGAAAGTATTACTCATATGAACACTTGTCCATTGTGACACCTGTACTCCACAACTTTTCGTTTGTATTGTTTCAGATTTTCCTCTCGAAATTATCCTTTTATGTGATACGATTTTCATGGTAACCCTCATTCATGCGTTGGTACAGACTATTGCTGATACAATGGCATATATGCAAAGAGAAGGAACTTTGCTCCGCGGGGAGCATAACATTTTGGGTGAAGCATTTCTTGTTATGGCTTCAGCAGCAGGGTAACGCGATTTTTTATTATTTTTTTTGTTGCATTTATCCAGCATCAAGTTTATCATGTTCTGAGATTAAGTCTGAACTTGGTGCAGAGCTCAACAGCAGCAAGAAGTTCTTGCTTGGTTACTGGAGCCATTGAGCCAACAGTGGGTCCAATCAGAATGGCAGAATAATTATCTATCAGATCCTATGGGGTTTGTTCGTCTTTGCTCCAATAAACCCTTCATGTGGTCTTTGTTCCACACTGTTACATTCTTTGAGAAGGCTCTTAAGAGAAGTGGACATGGAAAAAGCAACTTGAATTCAACCTCGGTAACAAGTCAAGATTTGCATCCTATGGCTCATCATCTATCTTGGATGTTGCCACCTCTCTTAAAAGTATGTGTATATATTCTCAAACCTTAGATATTCTTAGTTAACACGTAACTAAACTTGGTTGCTACCAAAACCTGGTCAGGATTTCTTCAAATTAACACGTTAACATTTATTTATCCTGTTTTTTCAGCTTCTCCGCGTTATCCATTCCCTTTGGTCTCCCTCAGTATATCAAACTCTACCCCCAGAGATGAGGGCAGCTATGACAATGCCTGATGTAGAGCGATATAGTCTCCTTGGGGAAGCAAATCCTAAATTGTCAAAAGTCTCTTCTGTTTATGCTGATGGATCTTTTGATGGTGGTAAAGAAGGACAATCAGAGGTAAATGAAGCCAATGTGCGAAATTGGTTGAAAGGTGTCCGAGATAGTGGGTAAGTGGTCTACTTACCTCCTTTAGGTCTTACTTATAGCATTTTTTATATTTCGTCTCATCTCCTGGTTAAATGCAGATACTATGTGTTGGGTCTATCGGCAACAATTGGAGATACATTCTTCAAATGCCTAGATGCCAACTATGTCGCAGTGGCACTCATGGAGAACCTGCAGTCGATGGAGTTCAGGCACATAAGACAGCTTATTCATGCCTTTGTAGTTTCTATAGTTAAATCTTGTCCGGCTGATATGTGGGATTCATGGCTTGAAGTGCTCCTGCAGCCATTGCTTATTCGTTGTCAGCAAGCTACTAGCTCATCTTGGGCCAGTCTTATGCGTGAGGGCAGAGCACAAGTTCCAGATTCGTTTGGTGTACAAAATGGGCCTGACATGAAACTTGAAGTAATGGAAGAGAAACTTCTGAGGGAATTAACTAGGGAGATTGCCACCCTTCTTTCAACAATAGCTTCTCCTGGGTTAAACCCTGGGCTTCCAATTTTGGAGCATTCAGGCCATGTTGGCCGTGTGGACATGTCTACTCTCAAGGATTTGCTTGCATTCAAATCCAACTCTCTTGTGGGGTATGTACACTGTTCTCTCTTTTTCAACTTCTTTCCATGGTTAACTTTTGGATGAGAAGAAGAGTTAACAATGTATCGTATTTGCAGGTTCCTTTTAAATCACAAAAACATGGCTCTCCCAGCACTGCAGTTCTGTTTGGAAGTATTTACATGGACAGATGGGGAAGCAACCACCAAAGTCTGTTGCTTTTGTGGTGTTATTGTCCTTCTAGCAATTCTAACAAACAATGTGGAACTCAGAGAATTTGTGTCAAAAGATTTGTTTTATGCGGTCATTAAAAGCTTAGCCATGGAGTCCAATGCCGTTAACAGTGCTGATCTAGTCTATCTATGCCGTGAAATATTTTTTTACCTCGCTGACAGAGACCCAGCTCCCCGTCAGGTCAGTATTCTTACAGGATTAATCACTCTCAAGTCCTTCTGCTATTTTTTGATGTATTATGAAATCTGACTTTGGTGTAAAATGTTTCTTGGTTATATCAGGTCTTACTTTCACTCCCTTGTCTCACTCCCAACGACTTGCGTGCTTTTGAAGAATCTATGGCGAAAACTCCAAGTCCTAAAGAGCAGAAGCAGCTCATGAAAAGCTTGTTGGTGTTAGGTACAGGGAATAACTTAAAAGCGCTTGCTGCTCAGAAAACCGTTAATGTTATCACAAATGTCACTTGTAAGCATCCCTACACTCTTCTTCTATACGACTTAAAGTTTCATACGAAGAAGTCTCAAACTTTTGACATTTTCTATTTTCTATAGTGAGGTCGCGTGGACCAGCAAACACATCCGAAGCTAAAGAAAACGAAGGCGAAACAATTGGGCTGGCCAGTGTTTTGTGAGGTGAAACCAAACTAGAATATGAAGTTAAAGAGAGGCAAGAGGATGAGTTTTTACAACAAAGAACCCAAGTTGTACAGATATGTATATTTAGTCGGGAAAGAAGATTTTGCGAAAGGTAACAAGAAGCAGCGTTTTGGTTGTTTTAACACACAAATGTGTAAGATGCATAAGCGAAGAGGTTTGGCATATCAAAACTTATCGATATTGCGATGCCTATGTCTCTATAAAGTTATTTGTATGTTGTACACAAATCCAGAAACCTTGACACATCCATGGTTGATGTAGAGAAAGCTCTAGGCCCTGAATGTTTGGAAGATTTTTTTAAGTTGTTTTTAGATTTTTTAGACTTTAGTTTTTGGTTTTTGGATTTTGGATTTTTTGCAAAATTATTAATATGAAAAGCAAATGATAATTATTATTTTTCTAGATAGAAAAGAAGTGTCGTAGAACAAAATCTCATTCAAGAGGGATTTTGGATTTCATTAAAGAAATTGGTAAAGTCTCTTCGAATCTTGATTTTCTGTTATGTAGAAAATTCATTTTTTATTAAAGTTTTGAATTAATAAATAAATGGTTTTTGGAAAAACAAAAACTATTTTGAAAAACAACAACCATTTAAGGTCTTAAGTGTTACGCCTAGTATTCACTCCATTTTTTTAAATAATATTTTATCCAATAAATTTCATTATAAGTGATGTTTTCATTTTTCTATGTAAAAATTTATTGTATTTAATATTTGTAACCAATCATATTTTACATTATATTCTTTTATTGGTTGAATTCATATTAGACTATTATTTAGTGATGTTATATTGAAAATGGGTAAATTATATGTTTTATTAATTGGTGTGCCTTTGACCAAAAAAAATAAAATAATTGGTATGTCAAAACTATAAACATCATTTTAAATTGAAAAAAAGAAGTACTTTTTGGCTTTTTATTGTTTTAAATCTTATATCTCTAGACTCTAGCAATCAAAACAGAGCCTAACCAATGAAATTCTAATGGTACAAAAAAAAGCAAAATCAGTTAATTAGTCTGCAAGATAATAGCCTTTTAGTAACCATAAGATATTCAGATTATCCAATCATTCGATATGAAATTTGGGCACAAAAATATCAAGAATGACGGGAGATGATATCACTTATTTACTATTTTTTCTTAGACTATCTCCGATGTATATCTTTCTTATTTAGTATTTACTCTAAAATAGAGCAATGTTAGTGTAAAACATATAGTAGAGAATAGAGTAACTTATAAAGTTACTCTATTTTAGAGTAAAATATAGAATAGGGTTGGAGCAAATGTTACTTTATAATATAGTTTTGACACTTAACATAGAATGGGGTTGGAGATGCATTTAGACCAACTTCACTAGAAAAACCCTTAAAAGTTGCTTCTAATTAAACTAACTTTTTTTTTTTACATCATCACAAATTATAAGTCTCTCTTTAAAAAGGACCAGACTCGAACCCGAATATGCTGAGAAGACAACAGAGGTGAGAACCATTAGCCCACTTACTCTTTCTTAAACTAATCATATATTAATATTAAACTAATCATATTTCCACTATAGAACTCTAACAACAACGACATGCAGAACATCAGAGATGAGAAAACAAACTTTGTGTGTCTGATTCGCTCGCCGGTGGACCTCGTCGTCCCTTTAAGGCTATTAGAGGAAACATCCACCATTGTTATCGCATTCGGATAAAGATGTACATGAGAACCGAATCGTTTAATCGAGAGGAATGTCGATTCGAATACAACTCGGTGTCAGAGACCAAGAACTCTCGTATTTAAGCCGGAAAAATCAAAAGATTCAAGGTAAAAATGTGAATCTTTATTACTTAAAACATATGGGCATATAGGCTGTTTGTCCTTCCTCGAAAACTAAAGAAATCTTTATTACTTAGAACTGTTAGAAGTGACAAATATAATAAGGGATTTTTGCAGCAATAATAACCAACTAAATGTTATATTCTCTGTAAATCCTATGTTATTCCCAAGTTTAGCCCCACTGCATGCCCAACAGTATCTCACTCTCCACAATCTCTCCAATTGTGCATACTTGCTTTTGATTGCGTAAATTCCTTTTTTATGTTAAAAAAAATACTAATGTTGTAAAATTTCTAAGCTATGATGAAAAGCTTTTGCGGGGTAAAAAGTTATATATTAGGACAAACAAAGTCATAGATGTTTGGGTTGAATATGTACACTATCTAGTAGAGTTTAGTGCTCAACTTAGTGAAATCTTTATAGGGGGATTTCTAAGTAATTGTTAATAATGTTGTAAAATTTTGAGGTTGTGAGTGAAAGCTTAAGGGTAAAAAGCTATATTAATGGACAAACCAAGTCACAAATGCTTGGATTGGCTATATATATATCTAGTAGCTAGTAGGGTTTAGTGTTCTAATTTAATTTAAAACTAAAATCCTCATTTAATTTTATATTTTGAACATCTGTTATTAGATGAGCTATTCTATTTTAGCATGTATAATTCGAATCTATATTAATCTAGACATTTTGGTAGAATTCTATATACTAATATATACTAACGAAACATTCTATATAGTAAAACACTAAAACAGTAAGGAACCAAATGAGTAGAGTAATATTGCTTCTTTAGATTGTAGAACCAGAAATAAGTATCATAACTGTAATACATGCATTAAAAGGTACTCAAACATATCTTATCATAAATAGGTAAATTTAGGAAGTATGATAGTATATATATATATTTGGTTATGTAGTTGATGACTGAGAACATTTGTACATAATCTTAAATTCCAAAAGAAGTGGATAGCTATAGCTATATATATGTGAATTTGGCCCTACTTTATTTGATATGACCTTTTAAATATTTGAAAAGCCATGGGCCAAATAAATCTATGTATTATTATTATTAACCGTCATTATACTTATAAAAAAAAAACAATTTCTTTGTAAGAAACACTTATCTAAAATTACGTGACTTAGTCTATGTTAAATATGTTAATATTATCCTTCTTGCTTGACACGAAATTGCACGTTAAATACCTGACAACTGTGTATGTTTGGAATAATAATCCAATTTTAACCAAATTTCAGATAATTGTTTTTTTATTTATAAAGATTTGGATCGGTTTATTTTTGTTCTTATTTTATTTTTAATAATATTTACGACGTGGACAGACTTTGGAGTTTGTATGATTAAAGATTAAGACTGTTGTATGTATCATATCCTCACGTAGATTGAATCTATATTATTTTTCATTTGACAGTCAAAAATTACTCAATAATTGAAGATCTCAATTTATTTTAAATAGAAGAATAACATGTTACAACAACAAAAAATAAAGTACAATATACAATACTAATATATATGTACTAATAATAGTTTGTGCTACGTTGATTATTATGTTATTACAGAAGAAAAAGATAAAATTCACATAATATTTGTTGTTGATAAAAATAAAATAAAAAAGGTGATTAGACACGAGAAGATCCGTAACTCTCTTTGATGGCAAGAAGACATATATGGTACTAAACTGAACACGTTTTGTAAGAATATTCAAACCAAAATCATTTTGTTTTTTTTAGGATTTTCAAACAATTTATTATTTTACCACTATATATGTGAATGAATTATTGTGTTAGTGTTTTTTTTTTTTTGGAATAAGTAAAAAGTTATGAACTGAATCACGTACATCCCCTCAGACCCGACATCAAAACATGATATAATTTCGTCTTAACTGCTATTCGAACCAACAACTTTTAAGTTTTTACCAGAGATTTTTACTAATTGAGCTATTAGCACTTAGTATTGTGTTTGTTTCTTATTCTTATTTTTTGACATCATTACAAATTATAAATCTCTTTTTGAGAGGGATCGGATTCGAACTCAGATATAATAAGAAAACAACATAGGTGAGAACTATTAGCCCAATTGCTCTTTCTCATGTTTGGTTTCTTATTCATAACAATCATAACATATATGATTGACAATTTTGACATAATAGAATTGGTAGAATCACAATACTATAGTCATATAACACTAATCATATTCATATATATGGTGAAAAATTGGATTGCATTGCATGAATTCGAAACGCCAATATATTGTTATGATGTGCACACATCTTTTATTCGACCGTTACGCAATCTTAATCATTACTAAACTTAAGAAGTTGGACCAACACAGTTTGAAAGTTGAAGAGAGTTTTAAAACTATATAACATCACAATGGACATGTCGTGTTCATGTTCACGTTGTGTTGTGTGCTCTAGCAAATCGTTCGTTACCACAAGGTTAAGAGCATAATTTTGCGGTATGTTTTGAAAATAAATTTATATCTTTCAAAGCATACCGCAAATTTATCAAAGACATTAATAATCTACACGTGGCTTTTTAAAACTTATACATTTAAATTCGATTATATATATTAAATTTACATTTCAGACTTTGTGTTGTTATCTCTTTTTTTTTTTATATACCATTTTCAAAATTTTATCTTTTAAACTTCATTACTGAAAAAAATTGTTTTTCTAAACCAAGAATTCTCTATCTTTTGGTTGATAATCTTTCCATGTCCAAGATCAACTTTTATATTTAATATCCTTTTAGAGCTTAATTGAAACCATCATTTTCATTTCCCAACTTCTTGACTCTATTTTTCTTTTGATTCCTCAATTTTTTCATTAAAACTTCATCAATATGATTGAGACTTTTGATCTCATTAATGTCATCTACATAAATTTATCCTTATCATATTTTTAAATATTTAAATATAGATTTCTAAAAAATATATAAAAAATCTAAATAAAACTTGTAAACAAAATTTTAAAAACTAGTAAAAAAATTCAACATAGATTCTAATTGATAAATCATAAACTACAGTTCAGCTCATTCATTATAGTAATTAAAATATAGTAAGAAAAAAAACTAATGTGTCTTATGATCCCACAACAAAATTTCATTCATAATAATGCATCATATCTATACATATTTACTTTATTTATATTTACTGCATCAAAAATATAAAGAAATAAATAAGAAAACCACATTTTTATGAATTCAAAATTTACAAAAAAGGTGGACATTATATGATAATGCTCAATTAATTTCTTTTTACAAGGTTCAGTCTTTCACTCTATTACACCTTAAAATCACAAATTTGGTTTTTTTGTCCCATTTCTGTAGTAAATATTATAAATTCTTATCCATACAAAAAAAAATATAGTAAAAAAACTAATGTGTCTTATGATCCCGCAACAAAATTTCATTCATAATAATGCATCATATCTATACCTATTTACTTTGATCATATTTACTGCATCGAAAATATAAAGAAATAAATAAGAAAATCAGATTTTTATGAATT